GCTTTTTTCACAAGGAGCTACCAGAAGACTGAAAGTAGCCCCCACTCTCTGGGGCACCCAAAAGACCAGCCTTTATGTCTGCATGATCAAAAAGGGTATAGGGAGGGAAGAAGTAGAAGGGAAGAGGGAAATGAAGGGCATCCCTATATTACTTTACAGAGGGTGGGAAATGGGGGTGGAGGGAGACAGACATCTGCCCAGTTGTAAAGGTTTTGTTGAATGTCTTTGCCTTCCCTTCTGAAGAAATGAAAGCACGTGTGAATAAGCCATTCCATCCCACTCACAGCATCCCATTCCCAGTCCCTAGGGCAAAGGAAGGCAGTGCTCAAGTATCAGTGATGCAATAGAGAGAGGCGACTTGATCATCCAATCACATTTGTGTTGGGCATTATTGACAACCTTTGGGCAAGATAAATAGGCTGAAAAATCAATAGAACTATCCCTGCCTGCATAAAGGTGCACAAAAGCTATAGAGAACACGCAAATTCTACAATCATTCCTCATCTGCTTTAGGCAGATGCAGTGACCAGAACTCCAGATTTGAGTTGTTTCAAGTCGGAGATCTAAGTAAGCAGCAGGCAAGGAGAGGTTCAGTTGCTGACCTATGTTAAGCTCTGAGTGATGCTCAGCGACAGGAGCATGGATTGCTAATGTCCACAACAAGTATCGAGCTTTGTAGGGTGGGGTCATTTGCTGTCAGTCAAGTCCTTTCCCTATTTTATATGACGCTCTGGCTCCAGGAGTTATGGTTAGAAATGCAGGAGACACTCTTAACATGTTTATCCTCATCTTGCACTCAAGAGGCCCACCTGTCTGCTCTTCCATATCTGCCATCAAGTAAAACTGTCAGGGAGAACCAAGAGGACAGTGGCCCATTTCTGCCACATGAGTGCCTTTTACAAGCACTTGATATTTTTATAGAGGAGCAAGGGCCTCAAGTCCTGTACAGTCTCCTTGCTGTGCCACTAACGACTTTCTCAACACTGTGGGCATTTTATAAGTCTACATTTCCCTCCAATAAAGATAAAACCATTGAGCTGTAGGAGCTCAGAGGTTAGCTCAAGGGGAGAGAAGGGAAATCCCATAATAACCTCTGGACACTCTGCTAGAGGCTTCACATACTTGACCCTGCCTAAGGCTTTACATACTTGAGGCCTCATCCAAACGTTTCCACCCTCTGAGGTAGCTGGAGACCAGAGCAAGAAAAATAACCTGACCCAAAGCACCCAGCTGGCCAGTGATGGAGCCTAAGTTTTAGGGCCTATAGAGCCTGTCTGTATCCAGACAGGGCTGGGTTTGAGCCCTGCCTATGCCACTTAACAGCTTTGACTTCGGGAAAGTCACTTGACCTCTCTCATTCTTGTTTTCCTTGCCTATCAAAACCAGGTTAACAATAGTACGTCCCTCCCAAGACTGTTGGGGGAATTAAGTGAGATAATACATGGGAAGCATCTTACACAGTATCCAAGTAATAGTAAACATCTAGTCAATAGTGGTTCTTATTATTGACTTTTACATGGTAATTACAACCACCAAAAGCTATAAGGCAACAATCTGTAACTGAGTTTTCATCCAGATTCCACCTGAGTATCTTCAATAGCAGGCACTCACATACTCTGGATTGTCAATATGCTTTTTAAAATGTGAATCTGAAATGTCACCTGACAACCCAATTGTGTCATTGTTTCCCATGTAGTTATTTTGAGACTACGTGTCTTTTTCCACCAATAAATCTTAAGACTGAGAGGTGGACCCTAGAAAATTAATAATTAACATTTTGAAAAGAATTTTTATTTATTTATTTAAATATATTTTTATTGATTTCAGAGAGGGAGAGGGTGAGATAGAAACATCAATGATGGGAGAGAATCATTGATTGGCTGCCTCCTGCACGCCCCCTAGTGGGGATAGAAACCTGGGCAGGGAATTGAACTGGTGAGCTCTTGGTTCCTGGGCCAATGCTCAACCACAGAGCCACACCCAGCTGGGCTAATTAACATTGAATACTACCATGCATCAGGCACTATGTTAGCCAGAGCCAGCTTCACAGGCATGCAACCTGTGCGGTCAGGCTTAGCAGGGTTCTGTGCTTGGTTGATTGCTCTGCTGTTGCCCTCTTAATAAGTTCAGAACAAGAGGTTCCACATATTCCTTTTGTCCTTTAAATCAGTGTCACCCACTGGTGGTCCGTGAGGTCCGAAAGGTTGGCGATCACTGCTTTAAATTATGTAGGCAGTCCTGGTGCTAACTAATCACTTTTCTAACTTATCCCTTTAGTCTTCACTAAAAGCCCGTGACATAGATACTGTTATCCAAGTTTTCACAGTTCAGGAAATGGAAACCAGAAAGGTTAGATAATTGGCCAAAGTCCACAGTTAGGAAGTAGTGGAGCTAGCACGTGAATGCAAGATCTGACCCTAGAGGCCTTCTCAGTTCCAAACGGATAAAGGCTCTATTTCATTCATTTCTCCCCCTCCCCTTGCATTGCAGCATTCAGAAGCACAGTAGCATTTAATAAATAGATGAATGAATGTATGCAGCACATTTGGTCTAAGTTGAGCAACTAAGAGAAGTGTAAAGAAAATGGCTAGCCCTAGCCAGGTTGGCTCAGTGAATAGAGTGTCAGCCTGCAGACTGAAGGGTCCCGGGTTTGATTCCCTGCAAGGGCATGTGCCCGGATTTCGGGCTCAGTCCCCAGTAGGGGACGTGCAGGAGGCAGCCGATCAATGATTCTCTCATCATTAATGTTTCTATCTATCTCTCCCTCTCCCTTCCTCTCTGAAATCAATAAAAATACATTTTTTAAAAAAAGAAAATGGCTAAAGCATAGATGCCAGTTCTTGCTTGTTAAATGCTTTGTTTGGTTGTTTTTCAAAGTATAGGCTCATGGATCTGAGGTGGACTTGAAGCTCCAACCTTCCCAACACTCCCAGATGTTGGGACTATCAAACTTCTAGTGTCAGATTCTTAGCGGGGACCTTGGGCAGGTTCACCAACCTCTCTGAGCCTCAATTTTCTTATATGTAAAAGGGGATCATAATCCCTTTTTAAGTCGTGTTGCTCTGCCACTAAGGCCAAAAGAAAACATAAGGTGTTAGCTTCAACACGTCTGAGTTGGGCCTTGGATAGAATATAAACATGCAAAAGACTCCAGTTCTGTCCTCATGGAATTCACAGACAAACAGAGAAAATCTGGCCCAAACAGGTACAAGTAACCCATGTTCTTGTGCATGCACTCAAATAAGGAAGGCACACTTCTCATCCTTTAAAAAATACCTTTTTAAAACCTTAGGGACTATCCAGTAACTAGTCTGGATATGCCCTCAATCCCAACCACCAGTCACATCCTTTCAGCTTTCCATACTAAATCTCTCGAAAATACATCCACTTCTTCCTATCTCTACTCATTCCATCAAATTTCATCAATTCAGTCAACAAATATTTATTGAGCATCTATTGTACTAGACGTCAGAAATCACAGCTCTGAACAAAACAGCTTCATGAAGCTCATACTCATTAGGAGAACAAGCAAAAAGAAAACAAAGCAAATAAAATACTAATATGGAAACAAAAATGTGCTGGACACACCTAAAATAGTAGCTATTTTAGATAATGTCTTTGTTGAGGTGACCCTAGAACCCTTGCATGGACTATTCCAACAGCTTGTCTCCCTACCTGTTTCTCACATCCTGAAATCTCCACCCTACAGCAAAGTGACTCCTTTAAACATGTACAGGCTTTGTAGCATGTTCCCATTGCAATCAAAATAAGACTCATTCAAAAATTTTTGAACTACATCAGGGTACTGTTCACAGACCAAAAAGAAATCTCTACCCTAACGGAACTCACATTTTAGTGGTGTGGGGGCGGGGGGGTGGGGGCGGAGGGGTGAGAAAATTGGAGGAAGAAAAGCAGGGAACAGTGATGGAGGAAGGAGGGGTGTCAGGACCCAATATTTTATTTTATTTTCAACATATATTGTTATTGATTTCAGAGAGGGAGAGGGCGAATCATTAATCAGCTGCCTCCTGCATGCCCCACACTGGGGAATGACCGCACAACCCAGGCATGTGCTCTGACGGGAATCGAACCACTGAGCCACACCTGCCGGGCTGGATCCTGTATATTAAACCCATCGGTCAATGCCTAACCTTACGTCTTACGTTGTCACCACCCCTTCCTCCAGCATTTCAGTCTTTCTCGCAGTACTCTTCCTCTCCACCGGACTATTGCAGAAGCTGCTTACTACTACCTGAACTACTTTCCTGCTCTTTCATCTCACTCCACAGCTTTCAATTCAAATACTATTTCCTTTAGGAAAACTCCCCACATTCGGCCATAATGTATTAGTCTTCCGCAACACCATAACCCTCACCTTTAAACTTCGGTCCTATTTTGACTTTATATCGCGTTTGCATTTGTTTGTTTATAATTTCACATAAGCTCCAAAGGAGCACATCTGGGATCCCCGTGGAACCCGCGGCTAGCACCGCGCCTACGCCGTTGAAACAGAAACACATACAACGTGCAGAACCCACCGAGGACCGGAAGTGTTGCGCCCCCGGCGCGGTAACAGACTGGCGCACCGGAAATGAACGTTTGCTTCCGGCATCCGGGAGAGGGAATCGCCCGCGAAGGCTGCCGGGAAGCGTGGTTTTTGGAGTGAGCGCGTCTCGTCACTTGGAACCAGTGCGCGTGCGCTGCCTCTGTCGGCCTAGGTCGGGAACATGGCCGCGCGGTCCTTGTGGGCGTTCCGGCGGCGGGTGCAGCACCTCTTGGCCTCCACTGCCGCGTCCGATGGCAGGTAAGCCAGCGGAGCAGGCCGTGGGTCGGGGACGTGAGGACAATGCGGGATGAGCGAGTCGCAGGGCCAGTTGTGGACAAAAGGACTCACCAAGCCTCTCGGCCACTCCGATCAGGCGCTCGCCGCCCCATTTTACAGAGCAGCAAACTGAGGCCCACAGCCGCGCTTCACTGCCCGGCGGAGCAGGTGGGAAAACCCGAGGTCACGTCCTCGGAGGCGGGTGATCTCTTCAGCCCCGAACATGGGTTGAACTGGGCAGGTACCTCTCCCGGCCGCTTCCCCGCGGCTGTGGTGTCTGTGGGTAGATGGGACCCTCTTCCCGACTCCTGTGTGACTCCGGCCGCCCCTTCCCCGTGTTCCGGGCTTCGCTTCACCTTCAGGAAAAGGAGGGCCTGGCATTGGTGTCCCCCCCAATCGCCCTTTCCCCTGCCTTTGGGGGGTCTGTGAAGTTCCAGTTGCTGTTTTTATCTATGGGCTGCGGCCGTTTTTATCGATCACTTATGCCGATGGAAGAACTATGGGCAATTTTTTGTATTAGTCCCGGTTTAATTGAGGAAACTGAGGTTTGGAAAAGTTGAGTAACTTCTCGGAATACTATTCCAGACGGGAAACCATCCGGGGCCCCAGAATCGGCGCTTGTAATTAGGAAGCGACGTTAATTATTCTCAGGAACAACTCCCTGTGGGCTACTTCTTCCTCGGAATGAAGGAAATGGCTGAGTATGTGGGTGGGTCAGGTTGGACCTCTGAAATGTAAATTAATCCGCGGGGGAATCCGAAAATTTACTGTCTGCAAAGCTATTTGTCATCTTTTTCATCTTCACACACCTGCCCCGGCAAGCACCCCGCCCTAACACCTGGGTGAGAGGTTGCATTCGGGCCTTTTTCAAAGTCTTTGTGGCAGTTTGTGGTGTGGGGAAGTGACCAGGAGAAAAATGGCTCCTCCTGATCAAATGCACCCCCACTCCAGTTCTGAAGGGATTGCCACACTCCCCTCTCTTCCAGGACTTGAGGTCCGGCCACCTCCTCTCTGTTGAATAAGTATGGTTTATTAGGGGTTTACGAAGAAGAAGCTATTTCATGTGTATAATCTGACACCAGTGGACTCGGGCCTGGCCTGGAAAGTCTGGGAATATGAAAGTCTTGCCGACACTTTATACTGGCTGTTCCCTCTTCCCTTTCTTGAAGCAAAACTCCTTTACCCTCTTTGAACCTTTGCTCGGATGTCACCTCAATGAGCACTCCTCAGTCTAGGCCAGTTTATGTGAGTAAACCATTTTTAAAGAGCTTTTTTGTACTCACAGATTGATTTTCTTGATAATTTTACTTACCATCAAATGACGAGGATCCAGGAGGTGTATTGGAAACCTCATTGAAGAAAAGGTCAGAGGTGCTGCAATCCAAGATCTACAAACTAGCCCCAACTCCACATTTCCTCCTCATAAACTGAACCCGATGGCAAACATTTTCGCTGTATAAAATTGTAGGTTATACGTATAATTAAATACAAAGATCTTCCTTACTCACTTGTTTATAATTCACAGTCCATTACATATAGTGTTTTATGCATATTTAGTTGACTTGATTTTGCATATAGGTGAGTTTCCATCTCAGAATTTTTCTTATTCAGCACAGGTTCTCTTCTCTAAAAGCCTTACAGTTTACAATCAAGAAGATTTAGAATTCTAGATCTAACTTCAGTTTGATAAAGTCCCTGTACTGGGCTTTATTTTCCCCAACTATAAAATCAAGGATTGAACCAGCTTTATGGCTTTGTATTTTGAATTCCCCCAACTGATAAATGCCCCCACTGAATCTAAGTATCAGAACTTGGATTCTTCTTGATAATTTTTGTGTCCCCATTTCTGGCTATTTCTACTGCCTGGTGCCAGTATCCTGGCTCCATAGAATACTAGCTATGTGATCCTGAACAAGTCTTAAGCCTCGCTGAGCCTCAGTTTTCTCATCTGTACAATAGGAATGATCATAGTACTTATCTCACGCATTGTTATGAAATGAAAAGATGATTTAAGTAAAATCTTGAAAACAGTCTGTAGTGCTTAGTAAGCATTTTATAATTGTTCATATTGTTACTGTGACTGAAAACACTTGTCTTGAGTTCAGTCTGGAAACTTCCAGTCTCCGAACTCCGTTGTAACTGTTGACTGTTTATGATGGCATTTCTTCATTATGCGCTGTCTCCCTCCTACTTCAGGGGCTGCCTGCATCCTTTCAGCACTGCCACCCAGAGAACTGCGGGTGAGGACTGCAGCTCTGAGGACCCTCCTGATGAGCTTGGGCCCTCTCTTGCAGAAAGAGCCTTAAAGCTAAAAGCTGTTAGACTGGAGAAGGAAGTCCAGGATTTGACCGTGAGTAGATTTTATATTATGTGCTCTTCACATTCTCTCTCTGGTTAAATATCCAAGTAAAGTTTTTTATGTCAATTATCACTGACTAAGGATAGCAATCTCTTTCAATTCCCTATTTTGTTACAGTATTTAGATATTTTATATTTTGGAAGCTTCAGAGGAGGTACAAGGCCTGGCATGTGATTGACAATAAATATTTGTTGAATGACAGGTTATTTATCATTATACTCTGCTGATCATACTACATTTGGCATACTGCTCCCAGTACTGGGTTGACAAACACACTTTGGTGAAGATAGATATTAGAGTAATTGCAAAGCAAGACCAACATATGGTAAGGAGGTTGGAAGGCATGTTCTATGACAGCATTTAAAGGAACCAGGGATTATAAAAATGAAAGAGACAAAGACTAAAGAGACTAAAGTAACTGCCTTCAAATAGATGACACATTTTTTAAATGTACTTTTGTTTGTCTTAGAGTTCAATTCAGTGAACAAAAGTTGGACAGTGATAATGTTGGCTGAATGTGAAAAAGAAAGCTTTTTCTCAAGATGAGCTTGAAAACTGTTGATATGTTCAAGCTAGCAGGCTAAATGACAGCCTTTCAGGGCTTCTTTTAAGAGTAGGTTCCTGCTTTGACTGGGCATTTGGAGTAACTGATAAAAGATTCCTACAATTTCTTTTCTTTTTTCTTTTTTCTAATTAAAAACCTGTCACAAGGCTAAAATTTGTAAAGTATGCAAAAATATTCTTTCCTACCAAAAAAGCATGTGTTTTCTCATCATATTAACTTTGCTTGTCATGGTCAGGTGAGATACCAGAGAGCTCTAGCTGATGGTGAAAACATAAGAAGGCGAACCCAGAGATGTGTAGAAGATGCCAAGATATTTGGTGAGAGATTTATTCACAATAAAGAGTACCTTTAACTTTAAGGCTACTTACCAACAGTTCTGCAAACTGAACATAGTGAGAACCCATCTGAGTCCTTAACTGATCCCTGCCCTACCCTTCCATTATTACCATAGGCTTTCATGCTGCTTTGGGGGAATGTTGTCAAGTGAACCATTTACTAAAATAACGCTTGTCTTTAGTTTGACCAAACCTTCGTTATTTCCTTTTCAAGCATGACAGTTAACACTCTAGTGCTCATACAAACAATTGTGTTTAACTCATTAACAAGTGAATCATTAAGATGGTCAGAGAAGAATCCATAAAACAGACACATTGGCCATCAGGACTGCTGAAACTTGCTTCATAGCAGCAAAATTGGCCTATACAGTGCAATAATCAATTGTATCTCCACCAAACTATATTTACGAGTGTGGACAAGAATTATTTGCATTATTCTCAGTATTCTACAACTTGCTAAATTATAAAATAACTCAGAGACTAAAGCTTGGACCATATGGAAGCAGAGAACCCTGGGAGCTGTGCTAGATCACATTAATTTCTCTTTGGTCCATTTCAAAGTCTTTCAGAAATTTTTCTCTACATGCATCTTGTTCCAAATGTGTTCATAACAGTGTTAGTTGAGTAACAGGGCTTCAAAGGTAAAGGGCAAATCTGTGACTATTTGCTGTGCTCACAAGTTATTAGGTAACATTATACTTTCACTATACATAGAAGGAAGTGCCTGAAGGGCCCTTGGATCTCTCTGGTCCAGTCTTCTTTTACAGATAAGATGACAAAAGTGAACTTGTGATAGATGTAGACCGAGTTCATTACCTCCTGACCCCTAAGCTATTATTCTTTCCTATTCAATCCTCAAAATAAACCATTCTTTTGACTCACCTTTAGCATGGTCTTTTGTCAACTAATTTTTTATTATTGCCTCCCATGAAATGCTAATGTCTTGTCCCCATTGAGAATGCATGCCTCAACATAACTGAGACAGGCAGAAATTTTCAAAATTTACATAACTCAGTACTAAAAATGAATAGCAACAAAAATACAAGGCATAAAAATGGTTTTAAAGGACCAATTCCTGAGCCCATTATAAATAGTCTTTCCTAGTTCTTGGGTTCTACATCTGCCTACCATCCTAGTAGGCTTCCTAGTCATGTGCCTTCCAAGAGAAACTGGCTTGTCAGTTGGGTTGATGATGATCCCTGAGTCCTGTGTGGCAATCTTCCCACTCCCTGGTGTGGCCAGTACACTAGTCACCTCTCTGGGCCTTCCCCAGACTCCACCCCCAAAGGCAGAGTGGTTTCCTCATAAACATTAAAAGTGTCTGGTTTCTCGGTAGGAATTCAGAGCTTCTGTAAGGACTTGGTAGAGCTGGCAGACATTTTGGAGAAGACTACAGAGAGCATTTCTGAGGAAACAGAGCCTGGGGACCAGAAGCTCAGCTTGCAGAAAATCTTCCGAGGATTGTCGCTTTTAGAAGCAAAGCTGAAAAGTGTGTTTGCCAAGCATGGCCTGGAGAAGATGACCCCCATTGGTGACAAATACGACCCACATGAGCATGAACTCATCTGTCATGTGCCGGCTGGTGTTGGGGTGCAGCCTGGCACGGTGGCATTAGTAAGGCAAGACGGCTACAAGCTTCATGGCCGCACCATTAGACTTGCCCAGGTGGAAGTGGCAGTGGAGTCTCAGAGAAGACTGTGAATGGGCCGTGAGGAACTGAATGTCCTTCAGAGTGCAGCCACTTGTGTTTCCTTTATTTATTAAACTAGGTTTGTATTGTACATGAGCTACTTCATGTGATCTTTTTGGGTTTAGTCATATTGGCTTTCTTTCTAAGACACTCTGTTGATTTACTGTGACCTGTTTGGTCTGTCTCATCAGGAGTCTTGCCATTGGGCATTTGAACAATGTGACAAGTGTTCCTATGGCCTTTATCAAAATATGTTAAAGAAAATTATCTTTACATTTGTACTCTGATGACTTTCAATCCAAAATCTTTGTAAAAGTTGGAAATGAATATATGTTTACGTATTTTCAACTGAATATTCCTTTCTAATAGTCCCCATAACAGGAATTGTATAGGATCTTGTATTTTGTGGGGAAAAGGATTGATTCAGCATTTGGGTACTTAGGTGATAAAGCTTTATAGTTGTATGAATTTAGATCATTTGGGTTAATTTTTATGTACATAGATTTTCAGACTTTACCTTTTTAAATTTTATTTTCCTTTAAGCCATTTTTGTCCTTAAAGTTCCTGCCAGGTAGACATTATATTCACACTCATTGTCTTTTTCTGATTCCCATTTATAAGGGCTAAAGACCTCGGCAAAACTTGGAAGGCAGGGAACATTGAGAAATTAAGATACCCAATTCCCTTTATGTCACATGTATGCAAACGTATCACCCCTTTAATGTATTGACTTCCTAGAGTTAATGAGTCTATATGTTTATTTGTTATTCTTTCAGTCTTACTTCTTATAACTGGTGTTCCATAAAATGTGTTCAATGTATGAGTTAGTGAATGGATGATACATCAGACTTTAGAAAGGAGGTCACTTATGGCTATTTTAATGCTAGAAGAGGCCTTAATTATAAACTAATTTCACCCTTTCCACTTTTTCTGGCATATGAAAACAGTGTTTTTAGAATTGGACAAAAAAAAAAAAATTCTCTAAAACTAGTGAACTAAATTTCACTGAGAACTCAAATAAGGAACAACTAGATAACTTTAACAGCTCTTTAATGAACATGCAAAAATGTTCCCAGCGGACAACTAAGTGTTAGCTGTTCAGATCGCATAGGTTTAGGGTTGTTGTTTTTTCCCTTCATTGTTTTAATTGCGTGGGTTTAGGTTTAAGTTAATTACCCATAAAATAAATCCATTTCTACTGGAACTCTGTGACTGCTTCCAGTGGAGTGGTAAAAGTTATCCTCTTAGACATACATAATTCTAGGACACTACACAGACTTAGATCAATAGAGCCATCTGCCTATGAGCCCTACCATCTCCATCAGACTTAGACACTTTAAAAAAGAATGCATGCTCTTAAAATGCAAACAAAACACTGGTGGTAAGATTTTAAAACCAGAACCTCTTAGCATCTGCTAAGTGCATAGTATAAATTTAATGAGCATTCAGATTTCACAATAGGAATTTGTCTTTGTTTTGGCCTGTGTTCCTTTGAGATTGACAGATGGTGACAATAAGAAAATAAGCCAATTATATTTATTCATGTGCCCTTGGATTACAGGCTATCATTACCAGTGAATTAAAATAACCGTAATTTTCGGTATGGAATGTTCTGATTACTTGAAGAGTTTTCTAATATTCCTTGCAAGCTCCTGTTTTAGTAGTTTGAGAATAATTTTAAATTCTTTTCTTATTTAGTAGTTTTGTGGACTTAAAAGTGTAAATTTAGAAAATGGAGCTAGACAGTACGAATCTCGAGTTGAAGGGCTTTTGAGAGCTAGAGCAGCATAATCAAGCATAGGCTTGGTAGGTGTATACCTGAACATAAATCCCAGCTCAGTCGTCATAACCTTTGGCCCCATTCATCTCACCCTTCTGAGCCTGCTTCCTTATTTGTAAAAATGGTTATAATCTTCTCACAGTATTGTGAGGATTAAATGAAATGTGTAACTTGCCTATTTTAGTAGGCCCTCAAATATTTATTTTTATTGCTTTTTATTATACACATTGTTTTTCCTGTTTTTATAGCTGCCTAAAGTCTAGGGAAAGGGGAATACTGGTTGAGAGGTACTTAACTATTCAAACTTACAAGCTAATCAGAGTGATGTATTTTTCTTCCAGCTTCTGGTTGTTTTGGGGTTTGGTTTTGTGTGGGTTTGTTTTTTTTAAATCATAATGCAAGAAATCCACATTTAGACTGATTGAGCAAGAAAATTGTGTTGGTGCTCTGAATCATTTTCACCTTGATGGTAATGTGAAAAGACATTGGCTTGCAGTGGATATGGGACGAAACTTTGGCTCATGTAAAGAAGGGGTCTTGGTGTTTTGGTACTTGGATTCTAGCAGATTTTTCCCACTGCCATAAAGAAACCAGTCAGTACAATACTGATGTAACTTCTTTGGTGCTTTCATGGCAAAGGATTTGCTAAGTGAAGAAAGGCTCTTAAACACTAAAACAAAATCAGAGAGGGAAAACTAAGGATGATATATGATGTTCAGAAATAACGAATAAAACCCAACTTGAAATAACTGCAATTCACATGTGTAGTGTCTTTGTTTGACTAATTCATATTGTTCATTGATATGCTGTGGCCACTTCAGTGACTGTGACCCACCGTGTTTGGTGCTCAGTGGCAGTACCTTGAGATTTCACAGCAGCCCAGCCAAATGGATGCAGTGAAGGCCTTCCCCACCCTCCCCTGGTGTTGAAGTCTTGTCTGTTTTTATAGCTCCTTGACCTGCTGCTTTCTGATTCCTTTGTATTTTTTAGATCTAGACTCCTGTTTTTGCCTTCCTCTCTAGAATTGCCTTATTTTCTCGTGCTTGCTTCTTGGTTCTAATTGTCTTGTCTGCTCTAAACACTTAACTTGAACTGCTGGATGTTTTACCATCCTCAACCAGATTACTAACACGTGACCTTGTCCTTCCCAACCTCTGCCTGGCCTTGTTTTTACCTCTGCTCAGCTGACTTCCACCTACCCAGCCTCCTGGCTGAGTGGCTTTCTTTGGAGCCAGCCTTTCCTGCAGTGTGGCCTTTCATTTTCATTCTTCTGCACACCCTGACTCCAGGATCTGTTGTTTCCCATATTCCCAGTGTTAGTCGGTAAGTAAATTCTAATTCCTATGTACTCAGACTTTGTCCACATTCTTAATTTCACAGTGGAGGTTTTAAAACATGTGAAAACCGGGCTCCAAATTTCCTTGAGTTTGAACTTTGTGATTGACCAATAGAATACAGTAGAAGTGACACTGCCAGTTTCTTGACACAAACCTTCTGTCTCTGGATGGTCACTCTTAGAAGCCAGCCACCAAACCAAGAGCAAGCTGAAGCAGCCTGTGGGGTAGAACTGAGGGCCCTACCTAAGCTGGCCCAACCCAACTGACAGCAGCACCATCTTGCCAGCCATCTTGAAAGTGGGTCCTTCAGCCTCACCGGACACCACGTGGGACAGAGATGACCTGATCTCACAGCCCCGCCCAAAGTGCGGGTTTGGGACAAATAACTTACTTTTAGCCACTAAGTTTTGGGGTAGTTTGTTATGCAGCAGTAGATAACTGGTAGAGTCACCCAACCTCATCCCCAGTCTCACTAGTTGTTTTAACACCGCTGCCTCTAGAATCATGCCTCTGCTTTCCTCGTACAGCTTTTTTGAACTCGTCCTACAACTTTGATGCGCTCACACTGCCAATGTGATGTTAGGATTGGAAGAACTTCCTAACAGAAGAAAACACAGCTCTAGATTCTAGAGTTTTCAAGGACCCTGAAATTACAAGCAGAGCGAAGAAGTTGTTTTAAAATTAATATGATTTACCCTACAAAAAACCTACACCATTAAGTCAGCACAGAAAAGAGCTTTGCTCAAAAAAAATTTAAGGAATTTTTTGAGTCTTTGGAAGTAAACTTAAAAGACTTTGCATTCTAACACAAACATAGCCAAAGTTTTGGGGTGTTTTTTTGTTTTTTTTTGTGGGGTTTTGTGTGTGTGTGTATATATATATAATATTAGGAATGTTTGTTTATTCATCTACCACTTTACTAGTAATCCGGTTTGGCCCTCTTACGACACAAAGCTAGTTTAGGACCTCAGCTATAAGCTCCGTTACTATTCTCTGAATCCCTTCAATCTCTTCTCTTAGCCATAATCTAACAATATGGATTTTACTTATTTATCCCCAATTTTATTCCCTGCTAGAGGAAATCTGTCTTTCAGTGTGGCAAACTATCCACACTGACTAGTCCTGTTTTCTTCGAGGGTGAAAATGGAGGTTTATCCCTTCCTTTTTACCTTCCTTCACTGTGAGTGGATGACGTCCTTCCCTTTAGTTTGTTTTGTCTTGTTTTTAAGTAGGAGGCTTAGTGACTGACTGTGTAGAAACGGCAAGTAAACGTAACAGCAGTATCAGAAGCATATACAGAGGGTAACCCTGGCTGCATGCTTGGTCAGCAATTTCCAGCATTTGCAGACAATACCAAGCATTTTCACATTCCTTGTGTCACGTGATCATCACAACCCCCTAGGAAGGTTGAGCAGGGAAACTGACAGACACAGAGGAGGCACTTTACAGAGCTAGTACCTCTCAGAGGCTGGACTTGAACCGAAGTCGTCTAAGCTTGAGTTCTTCCTCTTCCACCAATCTTCTTGCAGCAGGACCCAGGTCCTGATGCTGAGCACCCGAAAAGTGCACACCTGGATAAGCCAACCAATGACGAGCCCAGATCCAGGAGGCGGGACGGGGAAGCTGCCAATGACAGAGCCTGCCCGAGAGAGATGCAGCCTGTGCCGGAGAGGGACGGCTGCTCGTCCAATGAGAGGCTGTGAGCCGAGAGGCTGGAAGGCGGGACGGCCCGTGTCGCTCCCGGGCGGGGCGGTGAGCCCAGCACCAGCGCGAGCACCGGACCCCGGCGTGCTGCCCCCGTCGCCGCCCGCCATGGCCCGCGCCGCTCGCTTCCTCGCCGCGCTGGCCGCGCTCCTCGCCGCCGCCGCTGCAGGCGGAGACGCCGGGCCTAGTAAAATCGGTGCGGGAAGGACGCGATGGGGTGCTGAGCTGGGGAGGGCTGCGCGGGAAAAGGGTTCTCAGCCGGCAGCAGCTGGGTGGGGGATGGGGAAGGCAGCTGGGCGATGGAGGGGTCCCCGGGAGAGGAGCTGGGTGGGGAGGAGGCGAGGGATTGCGACTGGGCGCGGGAGGGGACCGCAGCAGCAAGGTGCTGCTGCGGAGGGTGGCATGGGCATGTGTCGAGGCTATCTGGGGTGGAAAAGGGGCTTGGGCAGGACTGGCCAGTGATCTCACCGAAAAATTACGAAACAGTGAGCATCTGTCATGGACCAGGCTCTTTGTCAAGTGCCCCCGATAACAGAGGTCAGGGTGTGCGAGACTGGCACGCACAAAGCTGATTGAAGGCCTGGGTAGCAGGCACGGCGCTCCTAGTTCCTGCAGAAGAAGACTGCACAATACCGGGAAGTTAGTGCTAAGGCTGTGAGTACCCTGCTATAGAGGAAGGGCGCTTCACGCCAGCCTCTGATGGCTCTGGGGGGGCCCTGGGGCGCTTCTGGAAGCAGTACCTAAACCAGGCCTCTGGGAGAGTAGGAGACAGCCCTAGTGGAGACAGAGCCCAGGGTAGGTCTGCTGGAGATTTGCTGAGTGGCAGACTGGGGAACTTTTTAATAGCAGTCATTTTATAGTATTTGTGTGTGTTGTGTTTTGTGGGTTTTGCCTGTTTCCCCCCATCCCCCGTTATTTTATTTTGAAAAATTTCGAATGTCCACTGACGTTGAAAGAATTTCACAGTGATCATCCCTCTACCCACCACCTGGTTCCTGCCATTACCAGACTGCTACTCTACTCGCCTTCTCACACACCTGTCCACATCCATGCGCCCATCTGACATGTTAATGGATTTCAAAATAAACTGCAGGCATCAGGACGCTTTGCTAAGCACTACATCATGCATGTCATTGACTAGCCTTCCCCATATTTGTTTACAAGTTTTTTTTTCCTCTTAATTGTCATTTTAACTCAACATGACTCAAAAGATTGTCATGTCCCTCATGGAAAACTTCCATAGGTTGGCAGAGGTGGCGGGCTTCTGGTGTGGGGGAGTAGGAGCCCCCACTCCACTCTTCTGTGAGCCCCACTTGGCAGGGAGGGATGTCCCATGGGAGCACCACACACTTAGGGTCAGCGCAGTGCTAAGGCGTCTTGGGTTACAAAGCCACAGCTCAGGCCACAAAGGGTTAAGACAGACTGCAGCATGTCAGAAATCAATTTGGGACTGAGAGTTTAGGATTTTCTAAAGAAAGACTCTTGAGGGCCAGCATGGCCAAAGAAGACCTTGTGGAGAAGGTGGGTTTTGAGCCAGGCTCTGAAGGATGGGGAAGAGTTAGGCAGGCAGTATCTGGAGGTGCTGGGCAATCTTCCTTCTCTGGGGAATGGACAACAGAGCAGGACACCCACTGACCACTGGGGAAGGCTCAGGGCCTCCTCCCAGCACTATTGTTCCTGGCAATGCGAAGCTTGCTGCCTGCATCGTTCCAGCTGGCCCTGCCTACCTTGCCCCAGGGGTCATCTAAAGCAGGACACTTGGCAATGCCCGGCTGCCCGTGGCTTCCTGATTGTCCTCAGCTCTCTGACAGGAGCCTCCGTCCACCCTGGTGGTCTGAGCTCTACTCACACCATAATGAGGAGCTTCCTGTTAGCGTGGCTTAACCCTCAGACTGCTGCAGGGTCACATCTGAACCCCTCGGTGTGCGTTGGACCCTTGAAATCCTCCGTAGTTCCACACGCTGCCCTGCTCACGCTCTTCTCTCTGTGGAGAAAGTGTCTCTGCTCACGGGCTTCCAGGTTGTCCTCCAGAGTCCCACCCAAGCGACCCGCCTCCTGTGAAACCTGTGTCTCCCCACCCCCGGGCAGGACTCATTGCTTCCTCCTCAGGATTCCCTGGAACCCTGTTGTCGCCCTTAGTCACACATTGTCGTAGCTGCTTGTGCATGAGTCTGTCTGCCCCTCTCTGCCTGGACTCAGGACAGAGGCCCTGTCTGATTCATCGTGTGCCCCAGAGAGTGGGTGTCAGTTCATGAGTGTTGAGTGATCCAGGTGTTCTGCTTCCCTCTGACCCTTGGGCAGCTTCCAGGCCTGGTGATACCGGTTTCTCTGGAAAAGTGGCCAGTTTGGGGCTCTGTTGCAAATGGAGGGGAGGGGAGACACTGGTTTGAAACGGTTGGTGGCATTCTTGGAAGTAGCTTTGTCAATACCAAGAAGGGGGAAGTGGTTTGGTTTGTTTTCTCAAGGTACAACAAATACTTAATGAACTCTCCTGCCTGCCAGGCTCTGGGGGCGGAGTGACCTGCTGTCAGTCCTCAAACAGCATTGGAGCAGAACGTGCCAAGGACCTGGCCAGGGGTCAGACAGCGTAATGCGGAAATATGCCGGAGGGACGCCTGACTCGTCAGGTGGGCCAGGCAAGCCAGGCAGTGGCATGAGGGCCCTAGAAGCCAGAGAGGCAGAGGTGACGGCGCATTCCTGGTAAAGGGAGCAATGCAGTCACATGCTCCACAGAGATAAGAAGGGTTTGCAAGGGTGGGGCAGGGGACTGGAATAAGTACGCGGAGGCCAGATGATAAAGAGCCTTGCATTTTTGCCTACTGGACAGGAGCTGGTGGTTTCAGGGTCCACCGTAGGTCTAGGAAGGACAAATCACACCAGATTTATCTTATTTTCTTTTTGACTAGAGTTACTAGCTGGACTGTCAGATGAGAGGATCAGCTACATGGTGGGTCGGGTGTCAGGCCAGTTCAGTAGCTTCAGAGCTGCCTTACTGTCCTCTCACAGTCCTGTTTTGGATTCGTATCTAGATTCGTATCTATCCAGATGGTGGTTTCTAGTAGCACCTCACAGCCCTGTGCGGTGAGACGTTTTTTATCAGTGACTTGAATAAGATACTGATGGCGTGTGAACCAAGTTTGCGAAGGGAAGAGGTGTAGGAAACACAAGGGATGATAGGACCCAAAAAGACCTCCAAGAGCTGAAACTTTGTAACAAGAGCCTAAACTGGAATAAAGTGCCCTATACGCTTCTGAGCAACCCATCACAGGGTGCTTTCTCGTCTTGGCCAAGACAGATATAGAAACGATGTGTCAAGTAATAGGTTGGACTCGACCAAGGGTTGGCTGACTTCTTCCGGAAAGGGTCAGAGAGTAAATATTTTAGACTTTGCAGGCCTTATAGTCTCTGTTGCAACTACTCAACTCTGCCTCACAGGCAAGCAGCCAGAGACAAGCTAAAGAACAGGCTGCGTTCCAATAAGACTGTTTGCAAAAAAACAGGCATCTGCATAGATTTCACCCATGAGCTCTAGTTTGCCAAACCTTGGGTTAAAGAATGGTTTCCAAATACTGATCTACCTAATAGTACCTGTCAGTGACCAAGTTTTCTTTTCTTTTTTTAAAAAATATATTTTATTGATTTTTTACAGAAAGGAAGGGAGAGGGATAGTTAGAAACATAGATGAGAGAGATACATCGATCAGCTGCCTCCTGCACACCCCCCACTGGGGCTGTGCCCGCAACCAAGGTACATGCCCTTGACCGGAATCAAACCCAGGACCCCTCAGTCCACAAGCTGACGCTCTATCCACTGAGCCAAACCGGCCAGGGCATGACCAGGTTTTCATAGTGAAATAAAAATAGGGACAATGTAATGCGTTTTGTATCAAACTAAATTTATTCTCTTTAAATGATCATCCTGAAATTTGAGGTCCCCGCTTTTTTGCTGCTAATGTGTGTGTGTGTGTGTGTGTGTGTGTGTGTGTGTGTGTGTGTGTGTTTCCTTTTACAAAATGAGAGTTACAGTAGTTGGCAGTCTTCATATTGTCCTTTGCTCTTGAGTATTCGCTTTACTAACAACTAGTCCACAGATTGCCTTTCTGAGGTGTTCTAACTCTATGCAAGTGCCTGGGAATCTTGTCCCAGGCGGCCGTGAAGGTGTGTCCTGCAGTCTCATGCCCATATTCTGTCTCTCTCCTTGCCTGCCTCCCGGACCTGTTGGCAGCCGTGGTTGGAGCTGGAATTGGGGGCTCTGCCGTGACGCATTTCCTTCAGCAGCATTTCGGCCCCCGGGTGCAGATCGACGTGTTTGAGAAGGGGACGGTGGGTGGCCGCTTGGCCACCATCTCGGTCAACAAGCAGCACTATGAGAGCGGGGCCGCCTCCTTCCACTCCCTGAGCCTGCACATGCAGGACTTCGTCAAGCACCTGGGTGAGTGCACCACCCTGGGCCTCATCGTCCAGCCCCCAGGGCTGGCAGCAGCCATCAGGCCCTTCCCATATTGCCCACCCCTGATGGTCAAGGCCAGAAGGTCATGTAGCCCAATCTCCTCATTTTACAGATGGAGCAGCTGAGACCAGAGAGGGGAAGGAACTTGCCTGAGGTTACACAGTGAGTTAGTTGCAGAGCCGGGATTACAACTCAGGTTTGACTCCCAGGCCAGTTTCTTTCCCTTCCAATTTGCTGCCTCTTCATAATCATAATCGTGATGGCTTGCACCTGCTGTGTGCTTGCCAGGTACCTGGCATCCTTGTAGGTGGCACGTAGACATTACCTATAATCCTCCCTACCAGCCTGCAAGATGGGTCATATCTCCTCCTGCGGAAATTGAAGCTCAGAAAATGTATGCACCTCGGCTAAGGCCATGCAGCTAATAAGTGAGAGAGCTGGGATTTAACCCCAGTGGCATCGATCAAAACCACAAAAACGTATACTGTTCGATGCAGAAATTCCACTTCTCAGAAGTGATTATTGCACATGTGCAAAGAGGCAGACACATACAATTATCATCACAGCATTGTTTAGAATAGCAAAAGGTGGAAACTATCCTACCTGCCCACCCACTGGGATCTGAGATTAAATAATTATTGTTTAAGTATATAGACTGGTCAGCCAGATGAGGGTGTCCTTTACGTCCAGGATAGGACAATCTCCAAGACAGCAAGTCGGTAAAGTACAGAACAGTGTATAGTATGGGGGGGGGGGGGGAGACTCAGAAATATACACATTTATGAGTATTTGCACGAAATGTCTCTGGAAGGATGCTGAACAAAGATGCTGGTGACTCAGAGACAGGAATGGGAGGGTGAAGGCAAAAAAACCTGTGACTTGGGACAGGTCCTTTAACCTGTAAGCCTCGGTTTCCACATCTCTGACACCTGTCCTGCCTCTTCCCGGACCGTGAGAGGATGGAGTAAGATACACACGTGCCTGTGCTCTGCAAGCTGTAGGGCGTGGTGGCTACAAGGAGCTGAGACTCTTCCCGTGTGGTCTTGGTGCCCAGGGCTGCCATCCCAGAGCTGTCCACCCCTCATATTCAGGATGGCACCTGAATTTCACTCATGGCTGAGTGGATCCCTTTTGGAGGGGAAAAAAAAAGTAAAATAGTACATTATTTTAATCTTTATCTCCTAATTGACTAACCAGCTCCAACCTTTCCCCCGTGCATTGGTTGACTATCTTAAACAAGCAGCACAGATGGACGAACCATAGAGTTCGCATTCCCTTGAAGGGAGCCAGTCCACTTGCATCCTTCGGAAAGGCCCCGAATTTCAGCTTCAGGCACCGCTAGGTCTCCTGGGGGGCCCTCTGAAGGGGACCTGAGAGGCTCCTCCTTGTCTCCTCAGGGCTGAAACACCGGCGAGAGGTGGTGGGCAGGAGCGCCATCTTCGGCGGGGAGAACTTCGTGCTGGAGGAGACGGACTGGTACCTGCTGAACCTCTTCCGCCTCTGGTGGCACTACGGCATCAGCTTCCTGCGGCTGCAGATGTGGGTGGAGGAGGTCATGGAGAAGTTCATGAGGTAGGGCTGGGCGGAGCTGTGGGGCTTCCCAAGGGACAGGGGGACGAGGTGGGCAAGGAACCGGCTTGACTATACATTGCCCAAAAGGAAAAGGTACCCAGCACCATTCCGTCCAGGCCCGAGCAAGCACCCAGTGGGAGTTGGTATAGGCATGGTCTCTGGTATTATCACGATAGCATCCTCTTTATCTCTGCTAAGCTAAGCAGGGGTAGACTCAGGCACCTAAAGGGGATATCCAGCAGCAGGTGGGAGAGAGGGGGTGGGGTGGGGCACCCTAAAGAGCAAGGCCTTCAGAGGGGGCAGCCGGCACTCTGCTAGGCCAAGTGCGGCCGTGAGGGAATACCCACCTCATGTGGCTAGTTCTTCCAGTTTTTTCAGAAGAAGCTGAAAATCTGGAGTTACATGTGAAATCTCCCAGCTTTTCAGTGTATGCAACCCATTCTTCTTCTTAGCCGAAGGAAACATAGCTGTCGGCCGTGTGCAGCCTGCGGGCTGTCTCCCAGTTTCCCCACCTCGAACTAACACCTTTCTTCACCCTTCTCTCCTCCTTGGGTCTCAGCCCCTCCCCATCACTGCCAGAGAACAAGGCCGAGTGGCCGTGGTCACTCTGTCCCTTTCTTGCAGTTCACCTGCTTGCCACACTGGCCCCCCAGCTCTCCTTCAGAGTCCCCCGCGAAGGGTCCCCCTGCCCCTGGGCCAGGTACAGAGGCGCTCCTTCCTGTCACTGGCACTTCCCCCCTCTCTCCACTTCGCTGACTGTGCCTTTTATGGCACCTCCTCCGCATATTCTCCAGGTAGCCCCCAAACGCCATATCCTCACCACTCTTCCTTACGTTTTTCTCCCTTGTCCACTGTATGCAAACATACAAAGCTGAGTCCTCCCTTTTGTGGAGGACTCCTCCCTGTCAGCCTGTTTCCCCTTTAGTCCCAGACCCACGTTTAACTGGACACCTCCATCCGGGCATCCCGTTAATAACCAGACTCAACATGTTTGCACAGCAACCCAAGCAGAGGCAGCATGTCAAAGGCCAGCCCGCCCGGAAATCCATCAGCACATGCTCCCTGCCACTGGGGGAGTTATGGAGGGAGGGGCAAGATGCGAGCTTGGGGAGTAGGTGGCAGTCCTGTTAGATCAAGCTAAAGGAGAGGACAGGCTGGGCTGGCAGAGAGGGTGACAATATTGGCATGAGGCAGCTGCCATCGGGCCCCATGTGGTCCTAGAGAGGGGGATGCATCAGTGGGGCGGTGGCCTAGTGCCTGGCAGTCCCAGCTGCGTGAGAGGAGGACTGTGCCCTTGACAGGGAGTGGCTCAGAGAATGTTTGCAGCTGTCATTCAGCAGAGCCACCGTGTGAAGCCCAGTCTGATGGGATTCCGAGGCATTTGCCCTTCACCCTGCGCTGTCCCTTTAGGTGGGCCAGGCCCCCCACAGCCAGTGAACAGACCCAGGGGAATGTAACCATGCAGAGGAGGGTGGGTCCCTGCCGGGCCTCCCAGGAGCAGTGGCCCAGTAGCAGGTGGTCTGCCCAAAGGCCTTTCTGCGTAAGGGCTCCAGCTCCGCATCTCTCCCAGGATCTATAAGTACCAGGCCCACGGGTATGCCTTCTCGGGCGTGGAGGAGCTGCTCTACTCGCTGGGGGAGTCCAGCTTCATCAACATGACCCAGCGCTCTGTGGCGGAGTCCCTGCTCCAGGTGGGCGTCACGCAGCGCTTTATCGACGACATCGTCTCTGCCGTCCTGCGGGCCAGCTACGGCCAGTCAGCAGCGATGCCCGCCTTTGCTGGTGAGCCTGTGGCCCTCGGCCTGCCCACCTGCCCTTCCCTGCCCCACAGTGCCCAGCATGGGCTGGCTCCCCATAACAACCTCATGTCTACCTGGCTCAGTACGGCTGCCTGAGCACTTAGTGGCCCTGACCCCATTTGATTCTGGCATCGGTCCTGCGAGCTTGCAGGAGATGTATCTACCCCACTTTACAGATGGCAAAAGCGAGGCTCAGATCTCAGGTCCAGTGTGTGTCTCCTACTCCTGACTAGGTTAGTTTTAGTAACTACCCAGTGGGCCCCTGGGCCCTGGGTATTCATCTACGTATTAGCCCGCCTAATCTTCCCAGCTCATGACAACCCACTGTCCTCCAGCACAGGCCACAAGAGGGGTCATAACTAAATCTGCCTGCAGAGCCATTGGGCATGTCTTCCCCCAGGCATGGCCACCGTTCTGGCCTTGGAAGATGTGGTAGGATTTTGCTGGGGCCGTGAGAGGACGGAGAGCTGGGGCATTTAAGGCCAAGAGGTTGCACAGGCACTTGCTGGCCTCTCCTCCCAGCCTTGGCTGGGCCCTTCTCTCCTCCCGGCCTCATAACATGGAAGGGCCCAGGCTCGGTCCTTGGTCCTCTTCTCACGCGCCCTTGGGGAGCTCAGCCAGTCTCGGGGCATTAAATTCCACCCACCTGCCTCCTAAGCATGACCTCCAGCCCAGACCTCTCTCCAGAACTGCAGTCTCACATGTCAGCTGCCACCCTTATGTCTCCACTGGGACTTTTAATGGATGTCTCAGCATGGCCAAACCTGAGCTCCCGACCTTTCCTCCTGGAGCCTGCCTCTCCCAGCAGGGTTGGTAGTGACTCCTCACGGTCGCTCCTGCCCAAATCTTGATGCATTTCTTTCTCTCATACCCTCCACAAGGATATGTCAAGAAATCTCATTTGCTTTATTTCCTTCTATATCCAGAAGCCAGCAGGTTCCCACCACTGCTTCCTCCCTGGTGTAAGCAGTATCATCCCTCACCTGAATTACTGCAAGTCTCCCACCAGGTCCGCCCACACCCCCGCCCCTTGCAGGCTATTCTCACCACATCTGCTGGATGATCCTTTTAAAACAAAAGACGAGTCGTGTCAGGTCTGCCTGTGAAACTGAGTCAGGGCTCCTGTTTTCCTTCAAGTGAAACCCAAAAGTCCTCTCAGCGGCTGCTAGGCCCTACATGGTCCAGGCCCCACCGCCTCTCCCCACCCGCTCACCCCAGTCCAGCCACTCTGCCCTCCTCATCATGCCTCCAGGTGTGCTCCTCACCTTAGGGCTTTTGTGTGATCATCCCTCTGCCTGGAACAATCTTCCCCGAGACGCAGTGGTGCTAAACTCTCTCTCCCCCATCATGTCTTTGTGCAGGCGGTGCCTTCTCTTGAAGCTACCCCACCTCCTTGTCTTACCCTGCCTCTTGCCCCCAGCAGCCTCAGTCTCCCTCCCCCGCAAGCATCATCTTCTAGTGGACTATTACACTTACTTATTTTTCTCCCACTAGAAGTTATGCTTTCTGAGGACAGGAATCTCTGTCTCCCTGGTTTACTAATGTATCCCTAACACTTAGAAAGTGCCTGGACCATTGGAGGCACTCAGCCCATTTTTGGTGAATAAATGAATGAAAAGGTTTGAAATTGACAAGCTCCTTCCCAGTCTTCAGATCCTGCTATGTGTCCCCTCCTGGAGCTTCCCTGTTCCCTTTTTAGTATTTTGTGTGTATCCTTCAAAATACAATTCACATACCACACAATTCACCCATTTAAAGTTTACAATTGAGTGGTTTTGACTATATTCACAGTTGTGCATCCATCACCACCATTTTGAACATTTCATTGCCCCCAAAGGAAACCTCATACCTTTAGCTTTAGCTATCAATTCCCCAATACCCCCAGCTCTCCAGCTCTAGGCAACCACGAATCTACCTAGTGTTTCTATGGATGTGCCCATTCTGGATAGTCTGTATAAATAGAATCATACAGTCTGTGTTCTTAGGTGGCTGGCTCTTGCATTGAGCATGGTGTTGTCACCTCATAGCATTGTACCTTTGTTACATTTAATTTTGTGTGTTATGTCTCTCTGTGCCCATGGTTGTGGGGGGTCTTGGCCTGGGAGGGAGGCCAGGTAGGATGGTAGGGGATTCTTCAGCCCTACTTACTGCCCAGTGATTCTGCCCCCTTTCCCCTTTGCCCAGGAGCCATGGCACTAGCGGGGGCCCAAGGCATCCTGTGGTCCGTGGAGGGAGGCAACAAGCTGGTTTGTTCCGGTCTGCTGAAGCTCACCAAGGCCAACGTGATCCATGCCACAGTGACCTCTGTGACCCTGCAGCATACAGGTGAGCAGACAGCAGGGGGCGTGGCCACCCCACTCCTAGACAGTGAACACTTAGGCCTCTTCTGTCCCCAAACTCCAGTTTGATCTGCCTGGGAGGATTCCAAAAAACCAATGGGAAGTCCCAGCCTTGTCAAGTGACACCAGAGGGCACTGTTGTCCCAATTCCAATGTCAAAGCCAGAACACAGATTCGCATCAATCTAGCTCTATTCATTTGACCACCGTCAGCAGCGGTAGCAGAGCCAGAGCTTGAGTCTCCTGGCTCCCAGTCCAGTGCTTGCCCTGCAGCCACACCTGCATGGAAAGACGACCCCCACCATCTGGACAGCCCAGCCACACCCAGGGGTCTCACACCCTCCATTCTGGGCCCCAGATGAGAGATCGATGGGTAGAAGCCAAGAAATGAGTTGACTTTTGTGCTCTCTTCTCTCCTTCCAGAAGGGAAACCCTTGTACCTGGTCGAGTATGAGAATGAAGCGGGCACTAGCTTCGACTTCTACGACATCGTGGTCATCGCCACCCCCCTGCACCTGGACAACAGCAGCACCATCGCCTTTGAAGGCTTCGACCCGCCCATTGACGTCATCCAGGACTCTTTCCAGCCCACCGTTGTCTCCTTGGTCCACGGCTACCTCAACTCTTCCTACTTCGGGTTCCCTGACCCTAAGCTTTTCCCCTTCGCCAGCATCCTTACCACAGATTTCCCCACTTTCTTCTGTGCCCTGGACAATATCTGTCCCGTCAACATCTCGACCAGCTTCCGGCGGAAGCAGCCTCAGGAGGCAGCCGTTTGGCGAGTCCAGTCCCCCAAGCCTCTCCTTCGGTCCCAGCTAAAGACCCTCTTCCGCTCCTATTATTCAGTGCAGACAGCCGAGTGGCAGGCCCACCCCATCCACGGCTCCCGCACCACTCTCCCTCGGTTCGCACTCCACGACCAGCTCTTCCACCTCAATGCCCTGGAGTGGGCAGCCAGCTCCGTGGAGGTCATGGCTGTAGCTGCCAAGAACGTGGCCCTGCTCGCTTACAATCGCTGGTACCAGGACCTAGACAAAATTGACCAAAAGGACTTGATGCACAAGGTGAAGACTGAACTCTGAGGCCTCAGGCGAGCCTGGGAGTGTCCGTCCCCGCTGAAGATGGACCACCCCCCACAGCAGCCAAGGCTGCGCAAGCCACACTCGCCTGCCCAGCCTCCTTCTGACCCCTCCCATGTCGAGTGAAATCTCTCCAGTGGGTCCAGGCGACCTGCTCTCTGCCTCTCTATCTTAAGGATTCTCAGAGTGATTGTTCCTTTTTTGTTTTTCAATATATTTTATTGATTTTTTACAGAGAGGAAGGGAGAGGGATAGAGAGTTAGAAACATCAATGAGAGAGAAACATCGATCAGCTGCCTCCTGCACACCCCCACTGGGGATGTGCCCGCAACCCAGGTACATGCCCTTGACCGGAACCGAACCTGGGACCCTTTGGTCCGTAAGCCGAGGCTCCATCCACTGAGCCAAACCGGCCAGGGCGATTGTTCCTTTTTAAGAGAGAGAGTAAGAGAAGGGAAGGAAATTCAGACCAGTGTATTCATTTTATTTATTTTTTTAAAGGAAGAAATAAAAGTCCATCTTCTCCAGCTACTTCTGACTGGCTTTTCTAAGTAGGAGACAGAGATAATGATGGGAATGAATAGAAGACAGAACTCTGAATCCAGTTTCTTTGTTGTTTTTCACTGCCTTCTCCCAAAATGTACCTGTGGCAACACCAGGAATGACACAAGTAACCAGATGGTCACAAATCAAGAAGAAGGGAAGATCAGGAAACAGAAGACATGGTAATAGCTCCTATTTACGGAGGGCTTGTTGGATGTGAGGTGTCTGGTTAAGAACTTATTGCCCTGGCCAGGAAGCTCAGTTGGTTAGAGCATCATCCCGATATGCCAGGGTCGTGGGTTTGATCCTGGTCAGGGCACATATAAGAATCAACCAATGAATGCATAAATAAGTGGAACAACAAATCGATGTTTCCCTCTCTCTCCTTCCCCCCTCTCTCTTAAATCAATTTAAAAAAAAAATAACTTACTAGACATCATCCAAGCCCCTCAGCAATACCATTTGTTGGAGAGATGGCTGTGGTAGGACCCAGGGAAGAGATGGTTACCCCCGAGGGACAGCCAGTGTAGCTCCAAGCTTCCTGGCAACCACTGGGAAATGGGAAACATTCCAGGCCGTAGGAAGAGGAAAACTTCCTTGGCGCCTGCAGGAATTGACCCGTCTGTCCATTATGCAGGGGTTGAGGAATGTAACAGTGACCTGTCTTGCATGGAAACAAGTCCCTAGACGGGCATAAGGCAGTCATACCTGACCCCCAAGCACTGACCCCAGCAGAGTAAAAAAAGAAAAGGTGCTGGGGTGCAGTTCAGAGGTTAACATGATTAGGATGCCCAAGTCCCACCCAGACCTGCTAAATCTGGCTCTGGGGTTGGGCCCAGGAGGACACAACACTGCCAAGGGACACTCATAATGTGGCTAACTTCCCTTTTTTAAAAAATATACTTTTTTATTGATTTTAGAGAGGAAGGGAGAGATAGAGAGATAGGAACATCAGTGATGAGAGAGAATCATTGATAGGCTGCCTCCTGCAAGTCCCCTATGGGGATGAAGCCCGAGACCCAGGCATATGCCCTTGGCCAGAATCAAACCTGCGACCCTTTAGTCCGCAGGCCAACTCACTGTCTACTGAGCCAAACTGGCTAGGGCTAACTTCCCTTTTTTTGAAGAGATGGAGATAAAAGCCCCAAATGAGGAAGTAATTTGCCCAAGGTTTCTTGGTGAGTTCACAGAGTTAAAATCTGGAGCTTCTCCTAATGAATTGAGTTCAGCATGGGGCACAGTCCCCTTCAAGTAGGCAGAGGCCAAACTGGCTCTGAAGTTTTACCCTGCGGAGGTGTTGGCAGTGGTCATTAAAGCGTTGGTGCCTTTAACGTTAGAGAAACATGCCCTTGGTTACTACAGGGATTCTGAAGTTGACACGTCGGTAAGAATGCTTTTGGTTGACGTAGTAGAAAACCAAACTCAGACTGCCTTAAGCAATAAAAGGGTTTTATTGGTTATCATAACAGTCCCAGCTCAGGGCACTGTGCAGGGCCAGCGCCATTACTTCTCTCATGGTCAAGGACGGCTGCCAACAGCTCCCAGAGCGAGAGCATCTTCTCCCACGACCCCTGAGCCAAAGTCTGGGCTCTGGGCCAGTTGGGCCCCTGCTGAACCAATTCCTGTGGCCAAGTGAATGCCACATGCTGATTGGCTTAGAACAGTCAGGCCCCACCCCTGGAGCAGAGGTGGTCTCATCCAAACTACAAGGGCCTAGGGGTAGAAAGGGTGTTGGAGAAACGCACAATGTCTGCCACAGGTAGGATGGGGCTGTGACCTTTCCCTTTTCTCAAGTCCAGTGAAATCAGTGTGAAATAGCATCCTTTCTTTCATGGTTTATATTTAAAATGGAGATGCCTCGGGCTATCATGGAGTAACCGATGATCATTGGTTTTGGGCCAGAGGACCAAGGCCAATAAATTTGTCCCTGATAACCACCCCTCTGTTGCCTCCCTAAGGATGTGTACAAAAGAGGCAAACCAGGGCAGTTACAGTTGATCCCCGAAGCTGGCATTTGGCACCATGCCCAGCTTGAGTGCTGTGGAGCTGGCTGCTTCTTCAGAAACTTCCTTTGTCTGGGTACGCAGGCCTGAACAGCTCAGAAACAAACTGGGCCAAAATGCCCATGCTGCCCACTTCCCCAGGCCCGAACCTGAGAGTTGCATCTCACTACCTTCCCACCCACAAGGAAAGGGCAGAGATCCGTAAGGGAGCATGAGAACCAGGGGGAAACCTTTGCCCCCAGGCTTACCAGGAGCCCCCAGGGACCTACAGCCCTCGGGGAGAAGAGAGAGCTTTTGCAAAGACAAAGAGTCCTATCATCTACCAGATAAAACAGGAAAGAGGTCACATTCTCAGTCATCCTGGGGGCAGTGTAGTATACGTTTAGAACTCCTCAAAGGAACTTCACTCCTAGAGCAGGTGGCTCAAGCAGGATTTCAGCTCTTCGGTGGGAGGAAGGCTGTGGAGGGTAGAGTTGGGGGTGGGTGAAGAACAGTGGGGAGGGAGGAGTGCCTTGCTCCTGACCCACCTTTGAAGGAGCAACAGAGGGAGCTAGGGGCAGATCTTGGGCTCCCCTTGAGGCCTCCTTGCATGAATGCATGCATGCATTCATTCACCAAGCCCTGCACCCCTATTTTGAATGTGGCACTGTGCTAGGTGCTGGGGATGCAGCACTGACGTTGGCAGATGAGGCCCCTATTCTTACGGAGTTGGGGGACTCTCACCAGAGAGTGGAAAGCAGGAGACACATTTAAACTCCAACCAAAGGAGGTTGGGGGCACAGTGTGGACCCGGTTCTGCAAAGGTCCCGAGCTCCCTGCTGCTGCTGCCTTTAAACCAAGGCCAGCTGCCCACCCAGGCTCACGAGACCACGCTCCAGATGAGAAAACTGACACCTGCAAAGAGGAAATGCCAACCTCTATATAAAACTAATAAACTAACTGGTGTTCATTGAGGATCTCTGTGTCTGGTGCTCTGGGAGGAGTCCCACCAGGTGAGGAGTTTCCCCACCCAATCCCTATGCCCAGGGCACCTGGGGTCTCCTCCCAGGACCAGAGCAACCATCTTGCCTCTCAAATCTTCCCACACCCTCACCCCACAAAGAGGCCTTGGAGGCCCCGGGTCCCTCATGTGTGGCTCAAGTCTTAAGGCCTGACGAGCAGGCTGTGGGGGCCTCAGAGACAAGCAACCCCCCAGGGAGGAGACATGGCTGCTGGAGGCATCAGCATGGGCTGGCACAAGAAGTCTATTTTCCATGTGTCTGGAGCCAGGCCGAAGCTTCCTGGGGTAATTTTAACCAGTATCCACTCTAGAACGATACCAAAAAAGGTAAGTTACTTCCCACCCCAGACAGACACATACCTAACCTAACCAGTGCCCTTTCATGAATTATGGAGCCTTAATACATTCAGAGCTAAAGCTGCTGTAAGCATTGAAGTTAGAGCAGCCGCGTATTTCTATACTGGCCGATGGCCCTCTTATTGAAACGATCTCTAAAGAGCCAGCTATTCTTACCCTCAGAAAACAGCCTGAGCCCCTCAGCTGTCCTGGGGGCAGGAAGGTATTTTTAGACCTGGGAGCAGCTGATTTAGGATTTGGTGCAGGGGCTAGGAGGGCAGGGGGAGGATTGAGTTGCAAGGGGCTGATGGGTGGGTGGGAATTAGCATCTTGGGGGGAGCTTTCGGGCAAGTTGACCCACACTGCCTTTTTTATCAGTAAAGCGCTTTGATATAAACCAGTGGTTCTCGAAGGGTGGTCCCCAGACCAGCAGCAGGAAACACTGCCTTAGAAATGTGAGGCTCAGCCCCCATGTCGTACCTACCAAATCATCTCAGAACCACTGCGTGTGGGGCCCAGCAATCTGCGCTTTAACCAGCCCTCCGGGTGATTCTCACGCTAGCTAACGTTTCAGAACCACTGCTGTCAGCAAACCATCTCACCAGATCCCCCTGTGGATACGGCTGGAGGAAGGCATGATCTGTGTTGATGCTTCTCAACTCTCGAGTGTTTGTGCAAAGCCGGAGATCCCCAGACCAGAGTAAGTGCATTCCCACACAACCATTTCAGGGGCTCGATGGCCCAGGGTAAAAACCCCTGCCCTTTGGCAGCCCGGAGGCTCCTCTCTGGGTCTAAGGCTGAACCTGCAGAGAATCCGAGTTGAAGGCGACCATATTCCTCCTAGAGCAGGAATCTGCTCTGCCATATTCTTGAGCGGCTCAGCCTTTGCTGGACCCTCACAGAGACAGGGCCTCACTGCTTCCGAAAAGATTGTTTGCAATGGTCCTGCACTTACCTAGGGAGAGTTCGCGCTTGGTCACTCCTGCAGACGTTGATAGCAACCACGCTCCAATGACATGACTGAAATAAGCCTTATAAACCCAAATTAAAGGAAGTATGTGACTGTCCGAAATGGTGGAAGCAAATGCAGTGTTTTTTTTAATAACCTATTTCAGTGTTGGAGAAGGCTGAGCGATGGGAAGTCCTCCTTTATATTGATCTGAACTCTACCTCCCAGGAGCCTCCTACCCCCACCCTGGTTTTGGCTTCAGAGCCACAAGGAGCAAACCCAAGGTCTTGCTTTAGAAAGACAGCGTTTACTTTTCATTGGCCTTGTGTGGGGTGCAGGGAGGGCACTCTCCAGCTGCCCACAGGTCCTGGGCCAGGGCCGGGGCCATTCAGAAGATGCAGGTGCAGCCCACGGCGATGGTCTCCATGACTGCGCGCTGGCGGCAGGGCCCGGTGCGCGGGGGCAGCGGGCAGAGGCGGCGGCGCACCGGCACCTGGCTGAACACGGGCACGCTCACCATGCTGCGGTCCTCCTGCATGGTGAAGGGGTTCACGCAGCCCAGACACAGGCACCGCGCCTCAGGCAGGTCCGCCGGGATGCGGGCGGGGTCGTGGTTGATGCTGCAGGAGAACGGGAGAGAACGCAGGGCTGCTGCGGGTGGTGTGTTTGGGACGGGGGAGGGGCAGCAAATGGGCCCCCACGCCCCACCCTCTGCTTTTCCTAACCCCGTGTTTTCATTCCCAGGCAAGCCTGTGTTTTCGCCATAGGAAGGACAGTAATCAACTCCGTGTCCCCGGTGAGAAAAGGAACCATGGAAGGCAAGTCAGGCACCCAAGGTTATCCAGGTTCAAGGACACCAGTCACCCAGTTTTCTTCTTTCCTCCAGCAAGATCCTTATCCTACTACTACGTGGTGCTGTGGGGTCACAAAGAAGCTAAGGACCCTCTGCCTCCCCACCCCCTTACTTATAGTCTTGAGAAACTCAATCCACGGGAAGTTAATATTTGAGAACATTTAGGCCTAATTCTCACTAAAAGAGGAGTCAGGAGGCCTGGGATCTATTCTGACTTAATTTCTATTCACGTAACAAATATTCCACCCATGGGAACGAGTCTGTCCTTGGCATAGGGTGTTCAGGGATGGACAGCTCAGAGGAGTTCCCTCCTACAGCTGAGAGGATGGGGACTTGATGTGTGACCTTGTCTTCACTGTGTCTCAGTTTCCTCGTCTGCTAAATGTGAGGGGTGAACTTGACTTGTGGACCTGCAGTGTCAGGATCACCTCCGAACTTGTTAGAAATGTGGAATCTTGTGCCCCGCCCAGTCCCCTACCCCCTTTTGATCAGAACCTGCATTTTTATAAAATCTCCAAAAAGTCAAGGGCACAGTACAGTGAGAGGCCCAGCTTTGGAGGATTTTTATTTTATTTTATTTTATTTTATTTTATTTTTGGAGGATCTTAATGGCCACTTCCAATGGCCACATTCCAGATATGGTAGCCACTAGCCACATGTGGCTACTTACATTAATCAAAATTAGCTCCCCAGTCACACCAGCCACACTTCAGGTGCTCGAGAGCCACATGAGGCTGGTTGGACTTGACATCATCAGAGAATGTTCTATTGAACATGCTATTCTGGACATCGGTTGTGTGGCCTGAGTTTGTGAGAGGACCCTTCAGGGTTAGTCTGTTTCATCATTATTCATTCAACACATATGCATGTGGCTTCTGAGTGCCAGGGGCTGTGCTAGGAAGTGGAGCTACAACCAAGCTAAGATACCACCCCTTCCCTCTAGGGCAGTGATGGCAAACCTATGACACGTGACACACGAACTCATTTTTTTCGTTGATTTTTCTTTGTTAAATGGCATTTAAATATATAAAATAAACATCAAAAATATACATCTTTGTTTTACTATGGTTGCAAATATCAAAAAATTTCTATATGTGACACGGCACCAGAGTTAAGTTAGGGTTTTTCAAAATGCTGACACGCCGAGCTCAAAAGGTTCGCCGTCACTGCTCTAGGGGCAGCAGGTTGTGACTCCCAAACCTAGCTGTGCATCCTCATCACGTGGAGATGTATAAAATCCCACCTTCTGGGCCTCAGCCCTGGAGGTTTGGATTAGATGGAGCATGAGAATCCGTAGAAGGTCCCAGTCTAGCGTGAGACAGATATGGACACAGTCAACTCAAGACCACCCGGAAGTGCTGTAACTGTGACTGAGGGATGTACACAAGACACCCCGAGCTGGAGGAAGTGACGTTCAGGGAAAGCCTTGCGGGTACTTTAGCGGGGACTTTATGAGCAATAACAGCAGTGTCCTGCATGGATATCTCATTTAATAACAAACCTATGACGTAGGTACTTCTATCACCTCCATTGAGGAAACTGAGAGGCTACGCAACTCGCCTACAGCCCCACAGCAAGTAAGAAGCAGAGCCAGGATTCCAGCCCAGGCGTCAGCCTCTGCATCCAAGGTCTTAACTCTTACAATGATGGGGACAGTGGGCAAGGTGCCCCCCTCCCCATGCAACCCGCAACATGCAATGCAGCTTGCCCACGGCCACCCAGCCTGGCCTACCTGTAGCCCCATGGAGACAGGCTTCTCTTGTTGGACAGCCACAGCTGCAGGTTGACCTCACACTTCCTCCTCACTGGCTCAGAGCTGTTCCTCAGTTGGGCCACCATCTCCCCGAGGTTTCTCTCGTACTCCTCCATGCGGGCGTATGGTTTTGCCCTCGATACCAGGTCCAGTGGCACCTGATGAGGCCCAGGGGCCACGGTTCCAGGCCTCCCTTGCCCCTTCCTCTTGCTTTTGGGGTTCCTGGGCTGGCCCAGCCCCAGGAAGATGGAGATGGTAAGAAGAAATAGCTGAGGAGGAAGGTCATGGGTCAAAGGTCAGAGAGCCAGGACTTCCTCGGGGCCAAGAGTCAGGGCTCGGAGTGGAGGGAAAAAAAGAGGAAAGTCCTTATAGGAGTGACTCTTACCTGCCATGCCCTGTCTTGGTCCCACCAGCCCACCACTCCTGTGTACCAACACTTTCATGCACCACACTCATCACTAAGTCTTATCTATTGCACCCTTCAAACATCTCCCTGCCGATTTGAACTGATGGAGAGGTTTTTAAGGGCCAAGGATGGGTCTTTTCTAAATATCATTACTTGTAAATGAAGTCTGTTTTTCTTCTTTTGGGGGGGAAAAAAATCTCCCACCTATCCACTTCACTCTATCTGCATCAGCGTTCTCACTTCCCTGAACATCTCAACAGACCCTCTCCCCTCCTCCAAATCAATTCTCCACATCTAGGCTAAGAACAGCTATTTGAAATGCAAATCTAGTAAAGTCACTTTCCTGGGCCTGAGCTTCCTCTCACACTCACATCTCAGCCTCTGGCCTTCTCTCATTCCCTTCCTCTCACCATGCTCCTTCCTGCCACAGGGACTTTGCACAGGCTACTACCTGCAGAGGGCCTCTCTCCTCGCCCTCTAAATGCCTCTCTAGTGTCACTTCCTTACAGAGGCCTTGGTGGGCCTTCTTGGGCTCTCAACACCACATGCCTCTTGCATGACTACAGTCTTACAGTCTCTGAGTGTGATTCTCTTCTATGCCCGTCCCCCATTAAGCACAGACCCCATGAGGACAGGCATTGCGCCAGTTTCCTCACACTGTTCTAGCCCCTGTGTCTGAGTGAATGAATGGCTGTCACCATCCTTGCCTTCTGTAGCTCACAGTCTGGGAGAAAGAACAGATGGTGAACAAGAAAGCAAACACCTAAGTCTCCCTAGAGATACGTGAGATGGTGGGACCCTGCAGCACGTGGTTAGAGAAGAACAGGGCCACCCGCTTAGCCAGGTGGCAGTGTGGGGTCCCGCAAAGCCTTTCCGGGGTGCAGGCATGTCAGGTGAAGCTTGAAGGATAAGAGGGAGGCAGATGGGAAACTGTGAGAGGAGGTTTGAGTTGGTTAAGAGCTTTGCTGGAAGGAAACAGTGAGGCCGAAGTAGAGTGTGTGGGGGGGGGGAGGGGGGGGGAGAGAGGGGGTATGAGATGAAGTTGGGGAGGGGGGCAGGTGGAGGCCCAGGATCTCCGTTGGACTCCATGGCACCTGTGCTCTCCTCCTCCACCCCTAACCCTCTGCCTGCCCCACCCCTCGTCCTCCCTCGCCCACCCCTCTCCACCCTCACCTGCCGTCCATTTCTGCCCTCAGAGCCGGGAGTGTCAGGAAAGGCCCTGGCTCACACAGGAGAGGCCCGGGGCGGGGCCAGCAGAACCCAGACTTCTCAGGAAGCCGGGGAGAGAAGGGCCAGGGCTTGGGGGAGGGCCAGGGCTGGCAGATGGGGGAAACCCTCAGGGGGAGTTTCATCTCCTCACGGAATCTAGCCAGGCCCCTGCCTGCCCTGTGTCCCTCACCCCACGGTTCACATGGCCCGCGCCTGACCTTTCCAGGCTACCCAGCAAGTCTTGACCCTCGCAAACAAGTCTGAGCGTAGTCCCTCTTGGCAGAGCCATTTCCTGGAGCAAAATCCACAACAGAGAGTCAAGTCACTACATTCTTCCTTTTGGGTCCTAGATCCTGATGCAGAAAGATGTCTCCCTAACCATAGGCTTTCTCATCGCATCTGCGTCTCTCACTCGGTGTCCTCAAACTCTGGCTCTTCGTGCAGAGGAACACGGAACAGATGACCCCGAGGCCCCTTCTCTCATGTTGCAGGTGGGACACAGAGACACGGAAGGGCTTGCCCTGGGTCACGCCGTCTGGCTCTCAGCACCCAAGGACTCGTTGGAAAAACCCCGATAACTGAGTTTGCCAGGATCTCCCCAGGTGCCTTTGGCCTGAAAGGGCTTCAGTGTGGACGGGCCCAGTTCAGGAGCCTGAGCTACTGGCCATGGCTGCAGGCTGTGAGACCAGTCTGTTTCTCTCCAGCCCTGGGGGAGAGGGCAGAGGGAGAACTCGGCAGATTCCAAGCCAAACAGAGCCAGACATTAATCAATAGGAAAGAAGTACGGAAACACTCAGGCCCTCAAAGGGGTGGGGGTGGGGAAGCGCCACGTACCAGGTTGTACAGCCAGTCCATCCCGACGAGCCAGGCGGTCGGCCTGCAGCTGCCGCCCGCCTGGAACCCCAGATGCCTCCTCCAAGAGAATGGCAGCAACAGGATGGAGCGAAGCAATTATAGCTCATCAGGGGGCTGCTGGGGGTGGGTGGGCTCGTCATCGGCTTGGGCCCCCAGCTGGTTGGGCCTGGCGCAGTGGCAGGCGGTGAGGGGCGTGGGGGCAGGCCAGGAACCGGCCGAGGTGCCCAGGGGCTGTTGACTAAGGGACAATGCCCTGTGTGTCTGGTGGGGTTCTGGCGGGTGGCACCTCCGTTTGTGGCCTGCGGCCGGCCAGCCGGCCAGCACCCACAGGGCCTGCTAAGACAATCAGCTTCGTTTGCTTTGGGGATGGCAAGGGGGTGAGGGCAGAGGAGGGACGGGCTGTCCGTTGGTCAGGAGAGCAAATGTTCTCAGAGTGTGCTGGCCAGGAGCAGGACACAGACCCCATCTCCCAGGGAAACAGACGCAGGCACTCTGGCCTCACCCGGTCTCAGGTGAGCGCAACAGCCTTGGGTGACGGGAGTTTTGTTTCCTTAGTTCACAGGCGGGGAAACTGAGGCTGGAGCAGGAAGGGGCTTGTGCAGGATGACACAGTGAGTTACAGATGACAGAGCTGAGGTTCATACCTGGTCCTGTGCAGGGCTCTATCCACCAGCCCAGGCTGTTTTTCTTGGGACATTTTCTGTGCAATTCTGGCCTGCTGGGAATGTGTTTCTGAATCTGTGTTCTCACACCAGCCAAGTCTCAGCTCCATGAGGACTTCATGGCCAGTCGTTCTGGCCTTCCCTTGCATAGAGAAGGTCTCCATGCCAGGGACCTGGCCCCCTGTGATTGTCTGTGACTTTGATTCTCTCTCGGCCTCAGTTTCCTTCTCTGTAAAATGAGTGCCATGCCCAGGAACTGACAGAGGCCTGGCCCATTTCTCCCTGAAACCTTTCTGAGGCTCAGTTCCCACATCTCTCGAAAAGGGATCATCACAGCATCCACCTTTGGAGGCTATTATAAGGAGTAAAAGAAATAGTCCATCTGGCACAGTGCCTGGCACGTAGTAACTTCTCAATAAACACTTAACTGTTTATTATGAAAATTATTATAAAATAATTTTATAATTGTTTTTATAAACATTAACTGTTCTTAGAGCTAGCACAGTTTGCATTGCTCAGCCGAGTCTCCTTTCCACCCCCACCCTCCCACCCCCCCTGCCCCGGGCCCAGCCTCCTGGCTGAGAGAGCTCTGGGTTTCACAGGCTCTGGCCACAATTTTGTGAGCTCAGGTGACCCCGGGGTCTATGTGTCCTGGAATCACATGCTGAACTGACCAGTCCTGCTGGTCAAGCTCTCTCACGCAAGTGAACAGCCCAGCCAACTGTGAGGGAGTAGTCCCCCCAGGGTGGCGGGATGCAGGGTGGGGGGGAGTGTGAAGAGGGCAGGGGAGGGACACTGTGAACAGACATCCAGGATCACGGCGCCCTGTGGAGGGGCCACTCTTGGCCATTTACAGGAATGGGCTAGGGCAAGAACGCAGGGTGCGAGGCGCTCCTGAATGTCACAAGATTAATCTGTCCAGGGCAGGTTTCCACAGCATAACTGAGAAGCTGGCTGAGGCTTGAGCTCATCGAGAGATACCACCTTATTTGGTCAAATACTAGACAGGGCTCCATTCTATCGCTGGAAACTCCAGAGGGAGGGGGACTCTGAAAATACCTCCTCAGGCAACAGGGCCCCCACTCCCACCCCAGGCTGTCCCAGCCCCTCTGCCACTGTCCTTTGAACCAGAGAAACAGCCAGAGGGACAGGGCGAAGAATGGGGCAGCAGGGAGTCAAGGATGGGCTCAGTGACCATCTTGGCCAGCTCAGGCCAGGAAGGAGGCCCCTTCCTCCAGCCTTGGCTTCTAGAAACCACTGGAGGGTCATCTGCCTTCACAGATGTGGATTCTGGCAGAGTGTGGTCAGAGCCAGGCCTGAGAGGGAGGCATAGTGACTTCGACTTCAGGGGCTTCTGCCCCACAGCAAAGTTGGGGTCCTTAAGTCTTTACACACGGGAGGTGGTCAGTACATGGTACTTGTGAATGAGGGAAGGGGCAGATGGGCTGCAGAGCAGGAGCGGGGAGGCACTTAGAGCTACAGGCCTGACCAGGAGGAGTGCTGTGCTCGCCACCAGGTGGCGCCACCAGACATCCCTGGCAAAGCCTGATGGAACTTCCACACCAACGCTTTTCTCTGGAATGGGCCCTGGAGCTGAAAATGAGGGTCTGGGAGAGTGGGTTTGGGACCTGTGCCCGCCCCTGGCTGCCCGAGTGACCCTATTGTTAATGACCAGTGCCCAGGACACCTTCCTCATTAGAGCAGGAATGACACAGCCGCAGGAGGGGGTGGGGTGGGAGGGGAAAGGATGAGCAAGGGGGCTTCTGTCTGCTGTGTGAGTGATTTCCTTCACTTGGAGCACCTAGTATGTGCTAGGCCCTAGCCATTTGACACCTGGACATCGTAATTTCCAGAAAATAGCAACTAGTAATAATAATAGCTGTTGCTTAATATCTACTTACTGACTGGCAGGCATTGTGCTAAGCCCTTCATGCACAGTTTCACTTAATCCTCCCACCCACCCTGTGGTGAGGCCCTAACTTTTTCCCAAATATAGAATGGGGAAACTGACGCTCGAGGAGCCAAAGTTTGATTCATGCACATGCTGTTCCGTACAGTGGGACAAGAAGAGGAGCATTGCAACCAGGGCAGGAGGGGGGATGTCCAGCTGGTCTCTTGGTCATCAAGGGGGAGTCTGTGCTTGCCTCAGCCTCACCCTGATATTCTCAAACAAACTGGACCCTGCGTGTTGGGGAGATCACTGAGCCCAAGCCCAAACAAGAGTCCCCCAAGGGGACCTGAGGACTCCCAGCGTATGGGCATGGCACCCAGCAATGTTCCCGACACGTCGCAGGCATTGGCTGTTTCATGCATTGAATCACACGGGTGGTAAGTCACACGGGGTGATCACGCTGGGATGGAGAACGGGAGGCCAGAGCAGCAGGGAGCCGGTGGAGGAGGTGCAGCCCAAGGGCTAAGAGTTCAGACTCCAGAGATTGACAGGCCTGAGTTTTAATGCTGCCTCGACCAGTTCACAACTCTGTGGCCTTGGGAAACTCACTTGACTTTTCTGAGCTTTCGTTTCTTCTGCACAGTGGAGATAATAATAGCTTGGCTCCCAGTGGATGGTCGTGAGGCTCGGATGAAATCATGCATGTCAAAGCACTCAGCAGCGTGCTTGCCGACAGTAAGCACTCAATGGATGGCAGCTGCAAGTATCACTGTTATTGTTAAAACAAATTTGGAGTTGGGCCTTCAGCGATATTTCTGGGGTGTTCCCAGGTAGGAAGGCCATTGTTAGGTGGGGTCAAGGACAGAACCAGCAGAAAAACGTAGAGGCCCCTGTTCATAGTGGGCTTCTCCGGGAACCTGGCCTGGGCCAGGAGGGCCCATGGGATTCAGTCTAAAGACCAGTCCAAGTGGACCCAGTAAGGCTGGGGGAGGCAGGAGGAGACTGTCCGGCGCCTCCGCTGCAAGATGGAGGGGGGCTGTGGCCAGGAGGGCGCATCCTCCACAGGAGGTCTTGGCTCTCCTGCCATGCTGCCCACCCCACCCTCCACCCTCCTGGTAGGAGTCCTTCTCCCAGGCCCATATTTGCACAAATGCCTGCCTCACTGCTCACTGCAGAGCCCCAGCCAAGAGGCACTATTTTAAGATCCCTGGACGGGAACACTGTTGGTGGGAACAGACCCAGCCAGCAAGCTCCCAGTTCTCAAAAAAGGGAAAGGCCTCGGTGAATGGGCGGCCCCGGGGATGTACAGAGGGGGCACCACATCCACATGACCCTCTGCCCAGGCCACGTGCCAATGCCTCCTCCCCCACGGGGACCAATCAAGGAAGTGTGACCTGGAGCAGGATTTTAGAGGTGGGCTTGTGCTCGGGGACTGGGTGGCCGAGGCCTCCCTCCTGCCCAGCATCCACTCTTGAAAATGCCGAGTTTGTTTCTGGGTTGCACACTGACTTTGTGCTGCTTCTGGGTTGCATACTGTGCGCTGTGCCCAGTCTCTTGTTAATGCTCGCCGCCCATAGAACCTCAGGGATATCTTGTGTAGCTCCCACCAGAGTGGGAAACCCTTCCAAAGCACCTTTGCTGGATGCCTTCAGTACAGGGAGGTGGTCTCTCTCCGAAGATGTACACCCCATATTTTAAAGCTCTAGTTAGTGAGAATGATCATTATAATTATAAACGTTTTCTCCCATTAGGCTAAAGTCCCCCCACCACGCCCCGTGATGCGATGTGGTATCGTGGGAGACTGCAGACTTCAGAAATGGTGGCTGGGCCCTTGCCCCGCCCCTACTTACATGACCATGTCCATGTCTTCTAACCTCAGTGAGCCTCAGTTTCCCCAGAGGGTTAACATTGATTTGTCATAAAAATTATGACTTGCCTGGCATTTAATACTTGGCAAGTTTGGGCTGTTTTCCTTGTAACTTGGTTGGTTTTCGTGTGTGCCTATTTGTTGTAGGGTGATTTGCGGGTGTATGAGCTATTTTTGGTTTTGATTGGGAAGACCCAGTGTAGACTAAGGTTTAAAGCACAAACATTGAACACAACAGCTGGGTTACCTTGGGCAAGTGACCTAACCTTTCTGAGCCCATGTGTCCTCCTCAGAAGGAAGGGGGTTTCATGAGGTAAGTGCCTGTCACAGAGCGGTGCTCAGCGAATGGCCCTGCTGCTATTTTGCTGTACCCGTGGCTTTTAGCGCTGCTCAGTCAGGTTGCACAGAACAATTCTAGTCAGCTCTTTTCTAGAATTTTCTAACTGCCAAATCCCAATAGTAGAATGGATTGCCCTGGGAAAGAGTGAACTCCCCGTCAGCCAAAAAGACCGGGGGCCAGAAGACCGGCTGGGGTGCTGTGAGGGAGATTCAAGAAGAGGAAAGGGTTGGACTGATAGAG